GTTGGTTTACCTTATGAGCAGAGAGTTCTGCTTCCTTGACTTGGGGGGCGCTGTCTGCGCCTGTTGTGAAGGAGAGGAAAGTGTTCAGGGCTGCTTCCTCTTGGGGGGATGAGCCTCACCGGGGCCCAGCAGCCTGTGTCCCTGCTCACCCGATGGGTGCTGGGTGTGCACTGTATCAGCACCTTAGACGTGCCTTCTAAACCCCACTGCACATCCCTGGCTCAAGCTTCTCCAGCGGTGAGAGGCCTCACCTCCTCCCCTCAGAACAGGGTCCTCTTGTTGTGCCCTCATCCTCTTCCATCAGTCCTGCTATGAGAGCCTCCCCAGCAGACACCAGGTATCCTGAAGCCCCACGATGCCCTTCCTTCCCCGACTATGGTGCTGTTCCTCCACCAGAATTTCCCCTGAGTGGTGTAGCTGTCTCTGCCTGGGCCAGAGGCTCCTGGTGCATGGTTCTTGTCTCACTGGTCCCTGCCTCCACGGCTCTGCTGGAGGCACTCGCCACGCCTCTCCTCTTACCCCTCCGGACTTGAGATTGGTGTACTTGGAAGTTACTTTAAAACCATTTACTCCTTTTTTGTTATTATTAATTCAACTTAGATTTAAGCCCTTTGTACCATATGTTTAGGAAAGAATTTCACTTACCTGTTCCTTCCCTCATTCTGGAAATATCATTTGAAGAGCAAGTTTGTGTGTGTATTATATTTATTTATTGGAAAGGCAGAGAGAGAGGTCTTCCATGAGCTCTGCTGATCCAAAGCCAGGAGCTTCTTGCAGGTGTCCCACACGGGTGCGGAGTCCCAAGGACTTGGGTCATCTTCTGCTTTCCAAGGCCATAGCAGAGAGCTCGATCAGAAGTGGAGCAGCCAGAAAGCAAACCAGTGCCCATATTGGATGCCGGCACAGCAGATGACAGCTTTACCCGCTATGCTACAGCACTGGCTCCTTTTTACTCTTTTTTAAATAGTATACTTTTTAAAAATGTTTATTTTCTTGAAAGGCAGCATGACACAGATCTTCCATCTGCTGGTTCACTCCCCAGATGCCCAGACTGAAGCCAGGAGCCCAGAACCCCAACCTGGTCTCCTGTGTGAGTGTCAGAGGCCTACACACTTGAGCCATCACCTTCTTGCTCCCAGAAGTTGGGTCAGAAGCAGAGAAGCAGGGATGCCACCCCAAACTCTGATAACGGATGTGTTCTTAGTCTGCTGTGCCACAGTGCCTACCCCGTGCGGTACCCTTAGCTTGAAAGCTACACATGAATATCAGTAAAATTAAGCCCCATAAGAACAAAGGGGTGGGCTGGCGCCGTGGCTCAATAGGCTAATCCTCCACCTTGCGGCGCCGGCACACCGGGTTCTAGTCCCGGTCAGGGCGCCGGATTCTGTCCCGGTTGCCCCTCTTCCAGGCCAGCTCTCTGCTATGGCCAGGGAGTGCAGTGGAGGATGGCCCAGGTGCTTGGGCCCTGCACCCCATGGGAGACCAGGAAAAGCTCCTGGCTCCTGGCTCCTGCACCCCATGGGAGACCAGGAAAAGCACCTGGCTCCTGGCTCCTGCCATCGGATCAGCGCGGTGCGCCGGCTGCAGCGGCGGCCATTGGAGGGTGAACCAACGGCAAAAGGAAGACCTTTCTCTCTCTCGTCTCTCTCTCTCACTGTCCACTCTGCCTGTCAAAAAAAAAAAAAAAAAAAAAAAAAAAAAAAAAAAAACAAAGGGGTATTGTTAAATTCTACAGATAATACAGTTTGCTAACACCTTAAACCATGACCTTTTGTACTAGCTCCAAACTTGGACTCTACATATTAATACCAGAACCTTAGTGAGTGACTTCACTTGCTCCCCAGTGGCCCCAGGAACCCGGTTCTGCAGAGCTTCCCACAGCCCCAGCCAGGTTTTGTTGTGTCACTTGAGGTGGCTGGAGACCCTGCATCTCTGAGGTCCTACCTGTTGGCTCTCACTCACCTAAGAGCTTGGAGAAACCCTGTTCTGTCTTGCTGCTCATTGCAGGAATGAAGGTGGCATGTCCTCTGGGCAAGGCTGCATGCATAGCCACATGCAGCTTCTGGAACATGGCCTCTATCCAACCCCTCCCTGGTTAGCAGCTGTGTGCTCTTGGCTGGAGGCCCTAGATCTCTCGTCTCTCTGTGTTCTCGATGCCTCTGACTTTCCCTCCAGCTCCTAGGAGTGCTCTCTTCCTGGTCGGTCGGTCTGGCTGCCTCCTGTCCACAGGCTGTGTTTCCTCTGACCTTTGCTTTCGGGAGCCCACACTGTTTTTTTCAGGCTTCTGTCCCAACCTGAGCTGCCATCACATAGCACACACCCTCCTGTGCCTGTGTCTCCCCACCAGCAACATCTCCATCCCAGCTGCTGTGCCATGGTTCATGCTACAGGCACTTCTGAGACCACATGGCAGTCAGCCCTGGCCACACTTGTCCCATCAGTCCCCCAGTGGCATGAGGGAGTGTCTTAGGCAGCCCCATCCGGTGAGACATGGCTTCGGCTCTGCCAAGCCCACCCAGAACCCCCTACTGGGTTTCTCTGAGTTGGGCCTTTCCCAGGAAAACCACGTCTTCCATAAAGGTCGCCATCCCTTCTGTTCTTGGGTGCCAGGAGTTACCCTGGGAGGGTGCAGATTCTGAGTGCCAGCCTGGCAACCTGGTCCCGGCCAGGCCCCACTAAACACATGTGGAGTGGTGGATGTCCCTACACAGATGGCATGAGTGTGTTTTCTTCCACAGTGCAGTCTTCTCCCGTGAGCCAGAGGACTGATGAGTGATTCAGGTTTACCTTTCCTCTCTGAGTAGGCAAAAAGCACTCTTAAGTCTCTCTTCTATTTAGTGAGAAAGAGTGAAAAGAAGAGCAGACACAAAGTGTCCTCAGGCCAAGTGCATGAGCTCCAGTGTGTAGTGTGTGTATCACTGCCAGTCACTCCCCTCCCTGCTTCTGAGTTGGCTTTGTTCCCGGCCACCTTGAAAATCTTATACGAGATGGCCTTGGACTGCTCCCATGTGGGTCCCCTTTTGTGGCAGCCTGTTAGTACAGTGCTTTCTCCAGCAGGGTGCTGGCTGTACCTCCAGTCAGCCAGAGTGTCAAGGGAGGAAGAAGCTGTCTTTCTGGGAAGGTTAGTGTTCCTAGTCCTTTGTCAGCGCTCAGATCCATGCCACAGCTGGGACCTGTGTGTGGGCCAGCTGTTCTTGCCACAGTGGACCAGGAGGTTCGGCTGTCCATGGCTCCAGGATGATGGAGCACAGAGTTGCTTCATGTAACTAGTGCCCCCACCCTGCCCTGGTGCTTTTAAAATACGGTAATTTGTTGGCCAGCACCGCGGCTCAATTGGCTAATCCTCCATCTGCGGCACCGGCACCCTGGGTTCTAGTCCCGGTTGGGGCACTAGATTCTGTCCCGGTTGCTCCTCTTCCAGGCTAGCTCTCTGCTGTGGCCCGGGAGTGCAGTGGAGGATGGCCCAAGTGTTTGGGCCCTGCACCCGCATGGGAGACCAGGAGAAGCACCTGGCTCCTGGCTTCAGATCAGCGCAGTGCGCCGGCAGCAGCACGCTGGCCGCCACAGCCATTGGGGGGTGAACCAATGGTAAAAGGAAGACCTTTCTCTCTCTCTCTCTCTCTCTCACTGTCCACTCTGCCTGTCAAAAAAAAAAAAAAAACAAACAGTAATTTGTAAAGCTCTGGGAGCCTGGGTCTAAATGACACTTGCACTGAATTATAATGTAATTCAGCAGCAGCTGGGGTGCCTGGTTTGGGCTGGGCAAAAAGCCGCAGCTCGACCCACGAAATGCACTCCATCGTGCCAGCTCTGATGGAGCCAGCCAGCTTGCCCTGTCTCTTCTTGTCCCCTCTGCCTCCCAGACTGCTGTGGTTCAAAAACCTGCCCCGTGTTCCTCAACTCTTGCCTTTTTCCTGGTTTTTTTACAATAGTGATGCTTTTTGGATGTGGCAGCTCCCCACTTACAGAGATTTTTTTTTTCCTCCCCTTGGGACTGGGGAACCTGAAGTTGGCCAGACCCTTTGCCTTGCCAATAGAAAAGTGTCATAAGCAGAATGTATGCAGGAAGTTGGCAAATGGCTAGTCCGTACTTGAGCAGATACTTCGCATTACTGAAGTGTGGGGACTTTTGGGCCCCATAAGGGATGGGCTGCTATGTTTCTGGAGGGCATTTTGGCAATAGAAACATAGAAACCCCAGTCTGAGATTATGTGTGCCTGCAGGGGGTGCAGTGTTAGTGTGGCCCTCAGCAGGGAAGGGAGGGCACTGCCAGACCAGGAGTTTGAGGCAGGCACTGCTGCTGGGGGCGGGGAGGGGAGGGCTGTGTAGTTGCCAGGGGAGGCGCCCTTTGTAGTTAATAAAACAGTAGGTTAAGAATGGATTTATTTTTCTGTTATTAGCAGTAACCTTGTGGGATCTCTTTGATGAGCAGCAGACATACATTATTTAAACAACGGAGAAAATGCTCCTAAGTTAACAGGAGGCCATGGCCTGGAGCCCTTGGCAGCACACTGCATGGTCATTGGAGGTGGGCAGGCGCCACCTCCTGCCCCACAGCCCTTGTGAGCCACAGGGGCAAATGAGGGCTTGGATGTAAGTGCCGTGTCTGGAGGCTTGCAGATTCTCTTCAGCACACAGGCAGTGTCACTTCAGAGGTCGCAGGCGGGAGAGGGGATGGGCAGACGTGTGGAATGTGCTTTACTGTACCTCCTTCCTGAGAGGCTCCGTGGTGCCCAGAGCCCCTGCCAAGTCCTGGTCCACCCTCAGCCCTTGCCCTACCTCTCGCCTTTGGTATGGGATCTCTCTTCCCTGCTGAGTGGCAAATCTTTGAGAGCAGGCGCTCGGGCCCCTTTAGTTGGTGCATCAAGTGGCACTCCCCGACCTGAGCAGCCACCCGCAGGGCCTTCAGTCCTTGGAGGCTGCAGCCAGTGGGGACACCGTCAAGAGGGGTGCCCATTTGCTGGGTGGTCTCTGATGAGGACTTTTCTCTTCCCTTGTAGAGTGCCCAGTGAAGAATGTGATGGGATCACTAGCATGTCTGCGGAGAGCGGCCCTGGGACGAGATTGAGAAATCCGCCAGTAATGGGGGATGGACTGGAAACCTCCCAAATGTCTACAACGCAGGCCCAGGCCCAACCCCAGCCAGCCAACACAGCCAGCACCAACCCCCCGCCCCCGGAGACCTCCAACCCCAACAAGCCCAAGAGGCAGACCAACCAGCTGCAATACCTGCTCAGAGTGGTGCTCAAGACGCTATGGAAGCATCAGTTTGCGTGGCCTTTCCAGCAGCCTGTGGACGCCGTCAAGCTGAACCTCCCTGTGAGTAACCTGGGCAGGGCCCAGGGCCTGCAACCTCATGGCTTCTCTATGTATTTCCTGCAGACTCGGGGGGAAGGGTGCAGATAGATCTATCAGGACCCAGCTTTGAGTGCCAGTACTCAGCCCCACGAGGCCCTTGCTACATCCTGACGGACAGAGATGGGGAAGAAGAAAGAAGGAGTCCAGTGTCTTAAGATATCGGGCTCCTGGAGAAGATGTGGAGAAGCTGAAACGAGGGGGAAGGGTTACCTAGAGCTCTTTGATGGTCCTGGCTACCCTCCTCTTCAGCTGTGGCGGACCTGTAGGCCCTGTAGAAGTAGCTGTGCTCAGTCAGACCGTGGTGGAGGGAGTCTGGTCTGCTCCAGTAGAGGTTGCCGTTATCACCCAGAGCACCAGGTAGGAAAGGAAAGTGGATTTTTTTTTATTATTATTTATTTTAAAAAAAAATCTTACTTAGATTTTAGAGAGACAGATCTCTCTCGTGCTGGTTCACTATCCAAAAACCTACAATGGCTGCGACTGAAGCTGGGAGCACAATCGAGGTTGTAGGTCATGTGGGTGGCAGGGAGCTGGAGCAAGGGATCAAACCCATGCCCTTGTATACGGGACTTGGTGTCTTTTTTATTATTATTATTGATTTATTTTTATGTGTTTGGAAGGGAGAAATCTTCCATTCACTGGTTCACTCCACAGCAGCTGGGGCTGGGCCAGGCTGAAGCCAGAAGGGTCTTGCACATGGATGGCAGGTGCCCAAGTACTTGAGTCTTCCGTGCTGCCTCCTAAGATGCATTAGCAGGAAGTGGAGGAACCAGGACTTGGTCTCAGGCACGCTGATTGGGACATGAGTGTTGCAAGCAGCAGTTTAGTCTGTGATGCCCGACCCCGACTTGACTGCCTTCAGTGTTTGGCTACTCTCCTGCTCCAGGGGAAGTAAGATGATCCCCGGGGAGCAAGCGTGTGGAGATGGCCTTGACCAGAGGAAAGGCAGGTTGAGCAAGGCTGTTCGTGTTCTTTTTCATCCCTGTTCCTCTCCGCTTTCTCTAGAGAATTCGCCCTTGTTTGCATTCTAAGCAGGCAGCTCTGTAAGCACAGCTCGGCCTCGGGGAGCAGGCAGAATAGAGGTTTGCTTTCTTTTCTTCCACCTTCGAGGGCTGATTGTCTTTAAATTGCCTCTGCTGTGTGCCAGGTGCTGTACCCCTCTCCAGTGGGTGAATTAAGTGGTTGTAGCCACTGACCCAGTCTATGTCTGGAGTGCTGGCACTGCTTCTGAGGCGGAGTGACCCACCCTCTGCCACATTCACGCTTCCTGGCTGGAAGAAGCCAGAAGGGGGCCCCTTAGGTCTGAGTAATAAACTGGCTCAAGAAAAAGGCCAGAGGCAGAAAAGAGGCCAAGGAGTGTCAGCAACTGACCGTGGAGATCTGGGTCACTCAGGGGAGTTTGCAGTATTTGTTTTGAGCTATGCAGGGTCCACATTCAAAAGTAATGCTCTTGGAGCAAGTGCAAGGGGCTAGGAGAGCAGGAGCTGAGGAGTGGGAATAGGGGGCCCTTGTACCCTTTTTTTCAATGGTAGTTGTGGGGGACACAAAACAGCACCAGGGAGGATTCACCAGCAAGCGCAGTCCCCAGATTCTCATGTCATAGCCTGCAGGGAGGTCAGACTTCACTGAAGTGAAGAGCCCAGCCTGACATCCTGCTGGCCTTTAGGAGGGTGCTGGTGACCTTAGGAGTTGTGACACAGAGGTAGAAGCCAGATTGGCAGCAGTGTGGTGAGAAGGTGAGGATGTGAGACGCTCATTTCAAGAAACTTGGCTTTGAAGGGGAAATGGAAGAGGGGTTAGTTTGCTAGAGGAAAACTCAGAAGGGACAGACCCAGAGGGCTATGAGGGAGGTGAGGACAAAGGAGAAAGGGGGGACTAAGGGACTGTAGATCTCCAGGAAGTAGGGGTGGTGAATGAGGCCAAGGAGAGCGGGAGGCTGGGCTCTGACCAGCGGGACGTTCCTGCTCCAGGCAGGGTGTGTGTCTGCCTGTCTCTGACTTTTGATGTCACCCTAAGCAGTACCTTCCAAGGGGACCTGTGTTGCTGTGGAAGGTGGTCATGGGCTGCCCCAGATAGGCTGCTCAGCTGGAGGCACTGTAGCACTAAAGCCCTGTTTCCTGGGTGCCACTTCTCCAGGAGATGTTGGTAGGGTCAACCAAAAAGGTATTTCTTCTTTTTTGGTGTTCTGAAGATTTTCCGGCTTCAGCCTATGTGTTGGTTTCTTGCCACTCTTCCGTTTGTCCTTAAGCCTCTGCCACCCTGCCCAGTTCCATCATGAAACAAAACTCTGCACAGAGCTCTTCGCAGTAGGGGATAAGCTCGCTTTCTACTGCAGCCACATCTATCTAGGCTTGGCTGTCTTAGGGAAGGAACTCAGACATCATGTGGCATAGGAAGTTGGGGTGAATGCCCCTTCTTGGCCTTCTGCCCAAGGTGCTGAGGCATGCAAGGGCGCTCTTACCAGGGTGCTGCTTTTGTTCCTTTCTCGTGGGTGTCAGGAACTGCTCAAAACCCACAGCCACCTTGGTGCGTGCCTTCCTTTCCAGTGCCAATCACCACTGTTCCCGAGCAGGACCTCAGAGGGCTCGCTGAGGGCAGTTTGTTCTCTCCTGCAACAGCTTCCGTGCCCGTGGCTTACCCTCCTGCCATTGGGATCCAGCTTAATTACAAGCTTAAATCTGGGTGGCCCAGACCTCAGAGAAAGTTCTTGGTGGGTCTGGCCCAGTGGCCTGGACCACTGAGGGCTCGCTGTCTGTGGGCAGCCCTGCCCTCTCCCCGCAGCCGCCCTCTCACTTGGCATCTCTACATGCTGCTCGTTCTGTCCCCAGATTCCTCCTGTGGTTTTTAAAATAAAACATTTGAGAATAGGTTCACGTCTGGGGTGAAGTCGTGATGGTGCTGCAGAGTTTGCCGTGGTGGACTCTGAGACACTCGGAGCTCCTGTCTGGCACCTTCTCCGGGCTTGGAGGGCGAAATCTGAAGATTTGTGGACAAGGTCATGGGATCTTGGCACTGACCGTGGTGGCTGAGAGTTGACCTGGTCAGTCGTTCAGGCACGATCAGTCTTGAGTTGCAGGCTGTAAGTCCCATGAAATTGAATGAGAGTGGAAGTTCATGTTTGGCAGTGTTGTTTGTGGCAGGAAGTGAGGAGTGTGGTTGTTCTGGGTGGGCTGGAACACTAGCACCATGGGAATTTGCATTTCATGGGCATTTAAAACTTCAAATGGTGGGGGACAGTTTAGGGCCTGCTGTGGGTGGTTTTACAGTTAGGAACTGCTTTTTATAAGGCTGCTTCTCCCATTATTCATTAAAAACAAAAGGATCTGTTAACATCAAAAGGAAAGACACAAATTCCTATAAAGACAATATGTTCTGAGAGAGCAGTGGGTGTGTTTTACCTCTGAGTTGCCACCTTCCTCTGCCCACTTGAGGCCACGGACACCATGGAAGAAGGTTGGTCTGAACTGTGGCTCCTCGTTGAGCAGGACTGTGTGCGTGACCCACGGGCCCAGCCGGCCAGCCCCACGCGGGTGCCGTGGGGCGGCTGCGGTGACTCTGGCTTGTTCTGTCTGCTCTCCAGGATTACTATAAGATCATTAAAACGCCTATGGATATGGGAACAATAAAGAAGCGCTTGGAAAACAACTATTACTGGAATGCTCAGGAATGTATCCAGGACTTCAACACTATGTTTACAAATTGTTACATCTATAACAAGGTGAGACCCAGAGGCTGCTGCCCGGCTGCCCTGGGGGTGACAGCTGGAGAGGTAACGGGACCTGTGGTTCTGCCGGGACTGGGTGTTTGTTGTGGGAAGGAGGGGTGCCGGCCACAGTGAAGCACAGGCAGTCCTGTGAGCGGTGCTCCCCAGTTCTTGAGCACGGCTCTAAGCAGAGGTGTGAGGATAGTAGTGACTCCTGGCAGAGCCCCGTAGAGGGTGCCAGGTGTCAGCCAAAAGCCTACTCGGACAGAAACCTGGATACCACACAAGGCAGGAGGCAAGGCCAGGAGCACAGCTGCTCCATGGGTCCCAGGCTGCTGGGTCTGCAGATGTGACTACTGACAGCTAGCTCTTCCACGGAGTCAGCTTGCTCCCTGATCGTATCTGTAAACCGGAAGGTCCCCTTCTGACTCCATAGCCAAACCTTTTGGCTTGGCTGTGCCAGGAAGGCGGGTCACTTATTTTTAGTTCAGACCCCAGATGTGATTAAAAACAACCCTTTCAAATAGAACGACTGTGGAAGGAGACACTGTACAGAACTCTGCTGGTGTAGTGGGTAGAACTGCCCAGAAGAGACAGGTAGGTGAGTGTCTGGAGGTTCACCGTGTTTTGTGAAGTCTCAGCCCTCACCCCGTAGACTCTGAAGCACAGTGGCCCTCCCTTTACTGCTAAGTGCAAGAGCCCCATGCTCTGCATGAGGTGGCATAAGCCATGGGAGCCAGGCTTCCCCAAGCCCCACTGAGAGCTGGAGAGTGTCGTTGGTGCCCCACTGGAGTCCCTGGCAGGACAGTGCTGCATACCCAAGTATTCCAGAGAGGTCAGATTGTGTCACAGGAGGGCCCCTGTCACTTACTGCCTGAGCTTGGTTGACGGTTAAGGCATTAGGATGGTTTTCAAATAGGCCAGAGCTCAGAAGTCAAGGGTGGGGGAAGGGTAGATGGGCAGGTAGACTGGTGAAGACTCAGAACTCCTCTCCGGAGTTCTTCCCCTGGAAGCATAACTGTTTGGTCCCTTGGGATTCAGATGGAAGAGGGAGCCTGAATGAATGTGCTCCACTTTGAGGCAGAGGTGGCCCAGGATGTCCTGTGTTGCAGTGGTCAGGGAGGCGTCCTGACTCTGTCTGCCATTACCTCCTCCAGCCTGGAGATGACATAGTCTTAATGGCAGAAGCTCTGGAGAAGCTCTTCTTGCAAAAAATTAATGAGCTCCCGACGGAGGAAACTGAGATCATGATCGTCCAGGCAAAAGGAAGAGGACGTGGGAGGAAAGAAGCAGGTAGGCGCTGAGCTGGCAGCGGCCTGGCCTTGGGTCTCCCCAGCCCCTGCCCCCTTTGCAGGTTTGGGGACAGTCTGGGAGTGGTGGGAGCTTGGCAGTGGTTGTGTATCATTGCCGTGTTGGGTCTCTCCCACCTGGGAATGATTGGGCCCTGCCTGCTCTGGGGTAGTTGGTCGACTTCAGTTTAATTTACCTCACAGTGCCATAGATGGTCTTTCCTTTTCCATTTTAGAGAAAAAAATTAATCTGACCAACAGCAATTTTGACTAATAGTCCATCCTCCAGCCTTGGGGTTTGCAGTCGGAATGGCCTTGGTGTACATTTGTTGTGGCCATGCCTGCTTTGTATGAAACGCAGCCACCTGAACTCCAGGTCTCCTCTGCTGTCTCTCTGTGTCACTGTGTGTCACACATGCACACACACGTGATTCAGGAGGCTCTGAACAGAGTTGCCCCCTCCAGGGAAGGTCTCTGAAGAAAGCTCTGAAGGCTGCCTTCTGTGCTGCAGGAGGCCGACACTGGCCAGCAAGACCCTGGGTGTGAGTTCTTGATTCTCTGAGGCACAGCCTTTCATCTGGCCTCCCACCCTACTCTGAAGCGGTAGCACCAGAGGCAGCCTAGGTCATCACCGGGTAGTCATGTGATCAAGTCATGTCCCTCATCTTCCTATGAGGACCTCTGTGCTCCCTCAAGCCCCCTGCTGTGACCAGGGATCTGGTGTGCACACTGGGCATCTCTTCCAGTTCCAGAAACCCCAGAGTAATGCTTCGGGGAGCAGAACTTGACTCAGCAGAACCTTGTTCTTCATGGGAACCTGGGCACTGCCCCAGTACGGCTCACAGATGAAGATGGCTTCTGTGGGTCCTTGCATGTCCGTTGCTTTTCATGACCACCAGCATGCAGGCCATTCAGGTCATGCCCTAGGCTCCATTTCCCTGGCCCACCTGCTCATTTTTGGAGCTGGTTGTGCAGGCCCTGGGACTCTGTTCAGGCTCGGTGCACAGCTGCAGGGAGGCTGCCTACGCCGGTCACAGAGGACAGCAGCTGTCTGGCCGTCTGCTGTGGCTCCCAGAGATTGGGGCCTGGGGCCTAGCCAGTTTCCAGAAACCTTGGCCAGAGCAGTCGGTCTGTTGCCAGAAGTACTTACTCAGAAGACAGTACTTCTGGGAACGAGGGCAGCTCTGGCCGGAACCTCCAAGGATCCGTTTTCCACTCCATAGTTTTGGTACTAACTCTGGGTGTGTGCTCCTGCTTTTTCAGCCCAGGCTCCCACAGGGGTCTTTGTGCCTAGATACCCCAGGAATCCTGAAGTGCAGTGCACTCCCTGTTCTGTGAGCACTGGGGCGGGTGGACATCTTTGGCACCAGGAAGGCAGAGGTGTGCTGGCGTACTGTCTCCTAGGTGACAGCGCCCCCACAAGGTCAGCCAGCACAGTGTGTCAGCACTGCCTCTTAACTCCCTGTCCTTCTTATAATTGGTAGCAACGGCAAAACCTGGCGTCTCCGCGGTACCAAACACAGCTCAAGCATCAACTCCTCCGCAGACCCAGACCCCTCAGCAGAACCCTCCGCCTGTGCCGGCCACGCCTCACCCCTTTCCTGCTGTCACCCCAGACCTCATCGTGCAGACACCCGTCATGACAGTGGTGCCTCCCCAGCCGCTGCAGACGCCCCCACCGGTGCCCCCCCAGCCACCACCCCCGCCCGCTCCGGTCCCCCAGCCCGTGCAGAGCCACCCGCCCATCATTGCGGCCACCCCACAGCCTGTGAAGGTGAGCGTCCTGGGTGCTGCTGGCCACCACCACCAGGGTCTGGGGCGGGGCTTGCAGGAGACAGGCGGCCCATCATCCAGTGCTTTCCACGCAGCCTGTCCTGGATCCCGCACTGGCAGGTGTTTCTGGGGCATGTCTCTGTGTGTCACATTCCAGAGGTGGCCACCCTGCTGTCTCAAAGATCCTGTGATTGTGTTATATTTCCTAGTGTGTTCCTGCCCCCTCCCTGGTTGCAGTTTAGACTATGCAGGCCTCTGCGTGGCCTCTGAATGTGCTGCCCTGAGCACTCTGGGAGAACTCCCTGGCAACACGCAGCACAGGGGTTCCAGGGACCTCTGGCTGCATGGAGTGTGTCTTCCTGCCAGTGCCACATCCTGTCCTGGTTGCAGCACACGGGGTGGGGCAGGTACAGGGACTAGAGACAGGGCCTCGCTTCAAGGGCGGGCGACCTCTGACTCTGCCACTGTGCCTGTGCTCTTGGCAGACAAAGAAGGGGGTGAAGAGGAAAGCAGACACCACCACCCCCACCACCATCGACTCCCTTCATGAGCCACCCTCGCTACCCCCGGAGCCCAAGACCACCAAGCTGGGCCCCCGGCGAGAGAGCAGCCGGCCTGTGAAGCCCCCAAAGAAGGACGTGCCGGACTCCCAGCAGCACCCGGCACCAGAGAAGAGCAGCAAGGTCTCAGAGCAGCTCAAGTGCTGCAGCGGCATCCTCAAGGAGATGTTCGCCAAGAAGCATGCTGCCTACGCCTGGCCCTTCTACAAGCCCGTGGACGTGGAGGCCCTGGGCCTGCACGACTACTGCGATATCATCAAACACCCCATGGACATGAGCACAATCAAGGTGAGCAGAGGGCCCTGGAGGGAGAGGTGGGTAGGACATGGGTGCTGCCAGAGCTCCTTGTTCTCCCAGACCAGTTCCCAGGCTCCCCAGAGCAACCCAGCGCCCCCTGCTGGGCTTTGTGAGGACAGGCTGGAGACGGTGTCTGGCCCTTGGGGACCCTGGACACCTTTGCATGTGACAGATGCTCCAGAGGAGTTTGGCAGCTGGTGACACGCCCACCTCTGTGGTGGATGTGGCCTTGCTGTGTGTGTGGGAGGCATACTACTGGCATTTTCACTGTCAGTTTTGAGGCTTTTTTGGATTTGTTTAAGACTCTTTGCAGTCTTCTGGGAGTGGAGTAAGTCTGCCCAAGTCCAGTACAGAGACAGGCTGTTCCTGTGACCAGTTCTCTGCTCTGTGTCACCAAGATGAGTGTGCACCAAGTCACCTGGGCCCTTGTTTCCCTCTGGTGTAAGCTCTGCTGCCTTTGTGGAGTGTGTGTCCACTTGCCCTTTAGCCAGTCACTACGACCAGGTGGGTGGGCTTGGGACACTAGCACAACAGTTCTCAGACCTGAGGCTTGGTGGTGAGTGATCTCCTGGTCTGCCTCATGCCGAGAACTGGGGGGATAACCTGTCCTGTGCAGCCCTGGCACCTCCATGCTGAGGCTAACTGGGACCTGTGTTATTTTTCCAGTCTAAACTGGAGGCCCGTGAGTACCGAGACGCTCAGGAATTTGGTGCTGATGTCCGATTGATGTTCTCCAACTGCTACAAGTACAACCCTCCTGACCACGAGGTGGTGGCAATGGCCCGAAAGCTCCAGGTGAGGCCTGGGGAGGGCACAGGCAGGCCTTTCTGGGCCACAGCGGATTCTGGTTCTGTCAGTTGGTCTGGTCACGTGGCTTTGGGAGTCCTGGGTGGTGCGCACATGCATGGGGGCTAAGGGGGCGGATTGTAGCATAAATATGTAAACTGACTTCTTTTTCTTTAAAAAGAAAAGTACATACCAAGTTTCAGCAGCGGTTATCTTTGGGTAGCAAGATTTGTAGAAAGTCAACCTTTTTTAGTACTTTTATAATCTGCCTTTTAAACTTGTGTATAGAAAGATGCTGGCAGCCGGCGCCGGCACACCGGGTTCTAGTCCCGGTCGGGGCGCCGGATTCTGTCCCGGTTGCCCCTCTTCCAGGCCAGCCCTCTGCTGTGGCCAGGGAGTGCAGTGGAGGATGGCCCAGGTGCTTGGGCCCTGCACCCCATGGGAGACCAGGAAAAGCACCTGGCTCCTGGCTCCTGCCATCGGATCAGCGCGGTGCGCCGGCCGCAGCACACCAGCCGCGGTGGCCATTGGAGGGTGAACCAATGGCAAAGGAAGACCTTTCTCTCTGTCTCTCTCTCTCACTGTCCACTCTGCCTGTCAAAAAAAAAAAAAAAAAAGAAAGAAAGAAAGATGCTGGCACTTCCCAGCCTGTTCTCCCAGGGTCAGTGGCTTACTGCTCCTGCTCTGGAGGTCTGAGCGGGCCAAGCATGGCCCATGTAAATGATCTTTCAGAGGGGTGCTGTCTGTTCAGTTTGGGGCTGCCTGCTGTCTTTGCAAGGACGGTCCCTCCTTCCTCCCCCATGCCTTCAGGTCTTCTCCCCTTGAAAGGAGCCAGGCTCTTTAGCTTCCTGCAGTTCTTGCTCTCGGCCACCCAGTGGCAGTGGTGCTCTCCGCTGTGTGCCTCCCAGCCGCTGGAGAAAACCTCCCAAATTCCATGGGCCCTCCTGGCCCTCCCGGAAGCAGCCTGACCAGCCCACGAGCTGTTGCTCTTTTGAGGCAGTTTGTCAGAAAGGGAAAACAAAACAGTACACACTCTACATTCTGCTGCTCTTGTCCTGGTTTTTGTGTCTGTCTGCTCCATCCTCTACTGAAACTTCTGGAACTGTCGCCTTCTCATAATCTGGACTTCTCTGACAAAGGTAGCTTTTTGATTTTGCTTTTTTTCCCCTCCTCCTGGGAGTGGGATGAGCCTTCCCAGAAGTGGAGCTAACCTGTAGCAAGGCCACTGCAGCTCATCCTGGGTGCCACAGGGACTGTGCACAGTGGACAAGGCGGGCATTCCTGGGCAGTTTCTCTTGGGAAGGCAGTTGCGCAGCTGGGACGTCGGTCCTTGTTTTTCTGTCCTCTCTCTGAGGTTCTCTTGTGCCTGCGTGGTTTAGGGAGTTGGGTTATTTATTGGTGAGAGGAAGGAACAGAGCCCTGGCTCTGTTCACCTGAGATGGGTTGGGAGCTACTTAATCAATTGCTGTCTTCGCTGGGCTGTGCCCAAGAATGGAGTTCATACGGAAAGTCATATGGGAGGGGGTCCACTTCATTTTCCTCTTCCTGCCTCAGAATTCTGGACATTGGAAGATGTCACAGACCCAGCCAGGAGTCCCTGGGCTGGTCTTGGTGGCGTCACAGCTGTGTCCCCAGCACCTGGCACTTGTGGCCCCACCACTTGCTGTGTCCACACCCCCACTGAAGGTCTCCAGCTCTGGCCCTTGGCTCAAGGGCTGGTTGGTCTGGGGGTCTTGAGTTCCTGAAGTCTCCTAGCACCTGAGCATGTTTGATTGATTAAGGGCAGGAAGATTTTTGCATCCATTATAGGCCTGTGACCCTGTCCAGCCTTCCATCTGGAATAGCTACCCTGAAACCAGCAAGGTGTGCTGAAGCCCGGAAGCACAGCGTGACCGAGCCACATTTCCTGCAGGGGTATGGGTTGTAGGTGCTCCTGGAGGTCGTCGTCCTCCCTCCTGGGCCCCAGATCTACCCAGGTGACAGCAGTCCGCCTGGTGCTGTCCTCATTGAGTCTCGGCACACCTTTTCAACTCTCCTGGTTCCAAGCCCCTAGCACTTAGGGCCCCTTCTGTCTGCTCCCGTGTCTGTTTGTCCTTCCCCTTCCCCTTGCCATTGGATTGTTCCTCAAGGGCAGGGAGTCGCCCAGGAAGCCCAGCCCTGTGGCCAGGGGGTTCACTGTCCAGCCCTGCCTCCCATTAGTTTCTCATCCCGGCTGCTTCCTGTCCGGCTCCTTGCTCTTCGATATTTTTTTTTTTTTTTTTAAGATTTATTTATTTATTTGAGAGAGAGTTGCAGACAATGAAAGGGAGAAATAGGGACAGATATTCCATCCACTGGTTCACTCCCCAAATGGTCACAACAGCCAGAACTGAGCATATCCAAAGCCAGGAGCCTGGAGCTTCTTTAGGTCTCCCACACGAGTGCAGGGGCCCAAAAACTTGGACCATCTTCTGCTGCTTTCCCAGGCCATAGCAGAGCTGGGTCAGAAGGAGAGCAGCTGGGACTCAAACCGGCACCCAGGCGGGATGCTGGTGCCTCAAGCAGAGGTTTAGCCCACTACACCACTGCACCAGCCCTTTTTATTCTTGGGGCCTTTGGAGGGCCAGGGCCAGGAGCCCCCTTGGGAACGCAAGCGCACCTCAAAGAAGTGCCGCCCTCACCCGCATGTCACAGTGCAGTGGCAGGGCCACTGGGAGTCAGGCAGTGCTGTCTGGCAGCTGCCCTGAGGAGGTTGGGCACCCAGACAGATGCTGTACTGCGGCTCCTCAGAGAGGTCGTTGCCTCCCGTGTGTCTTCCAACCTTGCCTTTCAGACCTGCTCAGGGTTTCCTTTCTGAGCAGACAGCAGGAAGTCAGTGCTCTCTGAGCACTTCATGCCTGGGAGACAGACACTCACAGCACGCTGGCCCCAACAAGGGCACCCGCTCAGTCAGGCACTCCAGGGTTGACCTGAGGAAGAGGACTTGGAGACTCGGCAGTGAACTCAGTGCCAGACACGCTCCTGCTTCAGGGCCTTTGCACATGGCTGTTCCTGCTTCCATGAGCTCTCAAATGTAGGCTCTCCTGCTCCCTGTTGGAGTGGGTAGGGGAACTGGAGGTAGATACAGTCTCCCGTTTGAGGACCTCAGCCGGTGGGGGTGGGGATGAGGGCTGGTTGCCCACTGTCTCCCCCAGGGAAGGAATCCTTGGTCACATCAGGATCCCCTGCTCTTGTGAGTTTTAGAGAAGAGTGTTGGATGTGCTCCCAGAGGGCCTCAACCAGCCCCTTTCTCCCTACCTTGTTAGTGGGAGACGACACAGCCACCTTTCACCCTCTTCACTCAGTTCCCGTTGACCCCAGTGGATGAGGAGGCCAAGGCAGTGCTGGGCCGCAGTGTGGGTGTGCAGCAGCTCTCACGGGCGTGGCTTTCCCTCTGCAGGACGTGTTTGAGATGCGCTTTGCCAAGATGCCAGATGAGCCCGAGGAGCCGGTGGTGGCCGTGTCCTCCCCAGCAGTGCCACCCCCGACCAAGGTTGCAGCCCCGCCCTCGTCCAGTGATAGTAGCAGCGATAGTTCCTCAGACAGTGACAGCTCCACCGATGACTCGGAGGAAGAGCGAGCCCAGCGGCTGGCCGAGCTCCAGGAGCAGGTGAGGGCCTGCGTCTGTTCCTGTGTGAGCAGAGTGCCCACTGGGGTTGTGGTCTTTCCCTTTGGGGAGGGGTCAGCTAGGTGTGCCCATGTTAGTGGGCATGGCTGATTTTTGGCAACAGTGAATCTTCTAGATTCTTCCATCGTGTAGAAGGAGAAATTGAGCTAGGTGGTTCGTCTCTCCTGGGGGTGCCTAGCTGCTCCTCTCCCTACAAACTGGTCATAGGACCCTTGGTACTCAATACCTCTGTGCCCTGTTGCCCAGCCTGTTAGAGACCCTCCTGGGACCAGGGTGGCTTTGGGGGTTTAGCAGGGAAGACACTGGCAGGCCTTGGAGCTGAGGGAATGTGGTTATGGTTAACATGGCATGTCTCAGCTCAAGGCCAGCCTCCTCTACCCCGCTGGGCTCAGGAGAGAGGAAGGGCTCTTAACCGCCTCTGTGGTCCACAGCTTAAAGCCGTGCACGAGCAGCTCGCAGCCCTCTCACAGCCCCAGCAGAACAAACCAAAGAAAAAGGAGAAAGATAAGAAGGAAAAGAAGAAAGAAAAGCACAAAAAGAAAGAGGAAGTAGAGGAAAATAAGAAAAGCAAAACCAAGGAACTTCCTCCCAAGAAGACGAAGAAAAACAACAGCAGCAACAGCAACGCGAGGTCTGTGCAGTACGCAGCCGTCTGCTGGGACACGGGACCCAGCTGTGCACCGCCCCTCACTCTAGGGCGAAGCTTCACAGCTGCCAGTGCTTGGCCAGGGTTGTGGGCGGGAGCGGGGACCACAGGAGAGCAGGCCTGAGCAGCCCCTAGACGGCAGTCTGCTTCTGTCCCTGTTGGCCGCTCTCTAGGAGCCCTTTGCCCGAATCCTGTTTCCTGTGACGAGTGGTGGGGTCGGGTATGGGGCAGCCCCCCCCAGCGCGCGCACACACACACACACACACACACACACACGGGGAAGAATGTGTGACCTGTTCTTGACGGTGTCTGCATCGTCCCTTCCTAGCAAGAAGGAGCCAGCGCCCATGAAGAGCAAGCCCCCTCCCGCGTATGAGTCAGAGGAGGAGGACAAGTGCAAGCCCATGTCGTATGAGGAGAAGCGGCAGCTGAGCCTGGACATCAACAAGCTGCCTGGCGAGAAGCTGGGCCGCGTGGTGCACATCATCCAGTCTCGGGAGCCCTCGCTCAAGAATTCCAACCCCGATGAGATTGAGATCGACTTTGAGACCCTGAAGCCGTCCACACTGCGGGAGCTGGAGCGCTACGTCACCTCCTGTTTGCGGAAGAAAAGGAAACCTCAAGGTGCCCAGGCCCCTCTGGGTGAGGGGTGTGTCTCCCGTGGGCATCTGCTCAGTTAGCACCCCCTGCCCATCTCAAGTCTCGCTTTGAGAGCAGCGGTGGTCATCCACTGAGTCTTCCTCTTAAGTCCTGGCTCTGAGGCAGTGCCGGCATGGCCGGTGTCTGTCGTGTCACATGTGCCTCATCTCAGAGTCCAAGCAAGGGCACTGCACAGTCTTAGTCCCGACCCCTTGGGTCCTCCTTGTAGCTGTGTCAGAATGGGCCAGCAGCACCTGCCTCACGTTGGGAAACCACTCCCGAATCTGCCCACAGAGGCAGCATCTCAGACATTGGAAGGGCCCTGGGGTTCTAGCATAAGCCAGGTCTCCCACTGGCAGGCAGCAGGCTACCTAACCCTAACCCTGGGGCATGTGGGGCCACTGGAGCGCAGGGACGCGGATGCTGGCCGGCAGGGCACAGGCCTCCCAAAGCTGGTTCTTCCTCCAGACAGGTGGGGCGTGCCGTAGCCAACAGCAGCCCCGGGGCTCTGGGCTGTCCCTCCCTGACCCAGTTGTGCTGTTTGGATTGCAGCCGAGAAAGTCGACGTGATTGCTGGCTCTTCCAAGATGAAAGGCTTCTCGTCCTCAGAGTCGGAGAGCACCAGCGAGTCCAGCTCCTCGGACAGTGAAGACTCCGAGACAGGTGAGCATCTCCTTAGACTCCTCCCACCTCCCTGCCTGCGCCCATTGCCAGCTCGGTCCTGTGTGCTGGCTATTCAGGAGCCCAGAGACAGTGGTCCTGAGAGCTTGCTGGGCCTTTGCATCTGTCCATTTCCTCCCTGGGGTTTGTGCAGCTTGGGCCATTCTCACTGTCCCTGCTGAGGCCCCAGCTGGCTGGGGAGGAGCTCTGGGTAGGAGCATGCAGGGGGCGGGGCCGTGAGAACTGTGGGCAGTGGGGCCCAGATGGAGTCACTGGCCTTGGTGTAAGCCTGCCCAGCCTCCCACCCCAGAGGAGATGACACCCCGTGCTCTTGCCTGTACCACAGCTGCATTCCAGGGTAGGTGCTGGGCCAGACTGGCAGGCCTGGAGCCCCCTGCAGGTGACAGCCCTCACAGGCCCGTCTGCTCCCCTCCCTTGGGTGTGCTCCCTGCTGCGTTGGCTGCTCCTGTCTGCTCTTCACTCTGCATGTACCTGGCCAAGCACACCCTGCCCCTCTTAACAGTCTTCTCCATGCTCCTTTTCCAAGTGCCCTTCCAAGGAAGGGAACCCACCTTCTAAGTAGCAGCTTCGGGGCAGGAGGTGGGGGCAGGTGGCAGTGTCGGGAGCTGGGTAGTCGTGTGGGGGTTGCACTTTCCTCACTGTTCTCAGGGGGAGCAGATGCTCAATGCTGGCCTGGCAGAGAGGGCAGGAAAGAAGCCACGGCCCACAGGCCCATTGCCCAGCTATGCTGTGCGGCAGAGCTGAGCGTTCTAGGGTCAGCAGGGTTGCCACATGCAGACAAGCTGCGCCCCACCCTGGAACCAGCCAGAGGCTCTCAGGCACGCTCCCCTGGGTGAGCTGAGGTGTGGAGATGCCTGGTGGGAAATGTGTGTTTGGGCAGCAGACTGCTGGCAGGTTCTTCTGTGGACCTGCCATGCCTCTACCCTGTGATTCTCACTGGGAGTGAGTGCTCACCCCCCAGGTAATCTGCACACGTGGGAAATGACCTAATGGTGCCCAGGAAGGCCCAGAGGCCCCTGCACAGCAGTTGGAAAGAGCCCTGTGGCTCCAGGGTGTGTGCCAAGGAAGACGCAGGTTGAAGGGAGGAGTTCCCTGTGAGCCTGGAGTGTGCTCAGGGCTTCTTGGGTCTCCAGTGCCTTGGACAACCTTGTTTCACATGGACCAAGAGGAGGTGCAGCCCGTTAAGCTACATTTGTTCTGTACTCCTCTGACACCAGCTGGGTGCAGAGACTGCAGTGGGTAGTGTGCTGTCCTCCCAGTCACCCCTTTTCTTTTTTTAATCACTGTTCTCCAGCCCAGTGCTGTTGTAGCCAGCAGGGAGCGCTGTGCCCCCACCCTGCAGGGAAGGCAGGGCTGGCCCCAAGCAGGAGGGTATAGTGACTGGCCGTATTCTTGGACCCCATTAGCATTCTTGGTGGCCGCTAACTTTCCGTTTCCAGTCCCGACCAAGCCTTGTGCTTGCCTGCCCCTGGGTTTTTGCCCCTCTCACCATTCCTTGCTACCAGGGGGTTTGCAGCCTTTTCTTTAGAAGATCCAAGTGACCAAAGCTGACACTGGCAGGGGGCCTGATCTGATGCATCACCTTTTGAAGGGGGGAGGATGTGACCGCCAGGCCCGGATTGCGAGTGCGAGTGCATGACTGTGACTGCAGCCTTTGTCTCTGGCCCCGTAGCCCTGGCCCAGTGTGTGGGCTCCTGCGGGAGTGCCCCAGGCTCCTCCTGCCACTGCCTGCTGCCAGGGCCGCCGTGTGTTTCCAGCAGTTCTCTGCTGCTGCAGAGGTTTTTTATTTTATTTTTTATTTTTTGTATTTCTTCCCCCACTTTAAAGAAAGTGGAAAGATTGTGCAACAAGTAATCTGAGAGTCCTGGGAACAGCTGTCCTAGTGGGAAGGAGGGTGAGATTTACAGTCTCAGAGCTGCCTGCTCCCAGGCTCCAGCAACCAGCCCTGGCTGCTCGCTCGGCTGCCTTCGCTCAGACCCCCACCCCACCCCTCCCTGCGCCTCCCCAGTCCCTCTTCCCAGCTGGCCTCCACACCTTGGGTTTTGCCTGATAGATCCCTTTTGTCTTTGAGGTCCTGGCCAGCAGGGCTTCCCTTGGCCCCGTGTGTGCCGGGAGCTCTTGCAGGGCAGCTGCTCAGGAGGGGGCCTGCCGGGTGGGATGTTTGTGTGGACCCCACCAATCCCTCCCGCACAAGACTCTGCACTCTTCCTGGGGCAGGGGCCAGGGTGGGGGCCAGCAGCCCCAGTTTCTGCGGCCATCTTCCAAGGCAGCCCTGCCTTGCGGGAATGGGGCTGGGTAGGGGGCCACTAAAGGTATTTCCCTTTGGTCTTTTGGGGCTTAATTGTTTCCCCTTCCTTGTTCTTCTGTTTCCATTTGGCTTGGAGCCGAAATTCCTGAAAGGGCTTATTTTTGTCACTTGTATTGAGGGTCAATTTTGCTGACACGGCCCAGAGAAGGGACTCGCCAAAAGAAACTTAAGAGAGGCACTAGGTTGGGGTTGATGGGGGTTGGGGGGAGGGGTCCAAGGAGCCCTCCTGGCAGCTGTCCATGGACTGACTGATGGGGGCATGGGGCTGGTCCTCTGCAGTCGGGCTGCAGTGCAGGGAAGCCATGCACAGACTTGGAGGATGTGGGGCTGCTCTGCAACCCCTGCCCAGGCAGCACGAAGCGCCGTCCCCCGGTGCCACCACTCCCGCTGAAACTGGCTCCTACTTGGGTTGTGGTCCCTTATTGAGCTGTGGTTCTGCGCACAGCCTGAAGCTGCTTGGGAGTTCAGTATGAGCGGTAGGGCCCAAATTCTACCCTTGCCCCCACCCCAGGGCGCCTGCAGAACTGGGCTGGGTGACCAGAGGAGGACACCATGGTTCTCCCCTTGGACTGCCCTCTGAGGTGTTCTGGGAGCAGAGCTGTAGCTTCCCTGTTGCCAGTGCTAGGATCAGGTCTGCCTGGCCCACGGAGCAGGGAGAGAGCCCCTCCCTCCAGCTTGCATGCATCACGTTCTCACAGCTAGCTCTTCCCAGATGCCTGCATCAGGTGTTGGTTGGCAGAGGTGGCCATGAGACTTTGTGTCCCCTCAGGAGCAGCCCACATCCCCAGCTGCTGGACCGAGATGTGGGGTCCAAGGAGACGGCTCAGACTTTGGCCTGGTCTTCTCATTGCAGCAGGAGCACAGTGCTGCTATTTTAGTCTCTTGATTTCCTTTTCCCAGGACTGGAACACGTGGGCGTCTCTTAATAGCTCCGAGGGAAAAAGGAATGCTTGCTGTTTGGAAAGACTTGAGCTGGGAAGTGCAAACAGAGGCCAGGGGGCCTTACACACGGCCAGCTCCAAGTCTCGGGAGCCGGTCACGTCTCAGGGCCTCCTGCTTGCCTGCTCCCAGGTGTTGCACCCATCCTCAGGGAAGGGATGAGGCCCCTGGCGAGGGGTGGCAGGGTGGACTGGCCTGTTTGCGTAGCCAGGTGACACCCCCACCCCCACACATGTGCAGGAGTTGCAGCTGGAGGGATTCTAGGGCTTCACAGTAGGCGAGGGTGAGCCTCATGGAATGTGGCCCGCAGTGCGAGGCCAGGATGGGCGGGTTTTTCCCATGCGCACTCCGTGCCAGGAAGTAGGGAGTAGTGTGTCAGTGCATCCAGAACTCCAGCACAGGCGTCTGCTCTGCTGCGTGGGTGGGAACCGGCCCAGTGCCCCTCCCTGTTCCAGGGAGCTATTTTGAATGCCCTGGAAAAGGGAAGAAGTCCCTAGGCTTTCTCCTTGGTCTGTGTCTGTTTCTCTTCAACAGTCTGTGGCGGTTGGTTTGTGTTTGGGATCTGGGGGAACACAGGGGACAACGATGATCCCCTCTTGCCACCCAGGGCCGTGTTTCTCGGGCCTTTTTCTCCCCTCTCCCAGGCCACAAGCAAGGGCTGGCATCAGCCTGGGCCCAGAAGACAGGTGACCCGCTGGGTTCAGCTCCAACTCGGCAGGCCCCTGGCAGGCCTGATGAACCTGGCTGGTGGGACGGAGCAGGGCCACCTCACAAACTCAAAACGCACAGCTTCAGGAGTGATACAGGGCGTGCAGTGTGTGCTGAGACAGGCACACGGGGCGCGCATAGTGGCAGCAATTGTCCAGTCGAGAGGTGTGGAAGGTTGCTGAGGGGAGGTGGTTGTCTCCACCGCAGGCCGGGCAGGGGCAGGGCTGCTGATCTGCAGCCCTGTCCTTGTGCACTGGCAGCCACGGGGGCTCAGAAGGCGGCTCGGTGTGCAGCTCTCTTCTGTTCTTGTGACTTGAGTGGCGCGTTCCACACCATTTCTCTCACACTGGTTTCTCTCTCCCTCTATGTAGGTCCCGCCTAATCATTGGACACGGACTCTTAATAAAACGGTCTTCAGTTCCAGATTCCTTCCCAGCGAGCTATAGCTTAAGTTCATATTTCTTCTGTGAAAGGGACAGGACTCCATCAAGTTATGGAATTCCTCAGAGCCCGGGCCTGTCCCCTGGGGTGGATTAGCTAATGGCCAGCAGCACACGCCTGCTCCCGCCTTCGGGAGAGGCTGCTGCCCGCTGTGTAAAGACTGCCCGCTGCCCTGCCCAGCCTCCCTGGTCATCTGGGTGGGAGGCACCCACCCTGGTGGGTGATGACAATCCCCCCCACACACACCTATACATGTGGTGCTGCTCCGTGTGCAAGGCCTGATCACAAGTGTGTGTTCTCTCTTCGTCCCCTCCCTCTCTTTCTGGGACTCCGGACCCTAAGTGCTTCCCTCTCGGACCTAGCAGTGCCATTAGCCCAGGAAAGCTCTCACTCCGCATGAGGAAGAAACTGACCTCCCGAGCGTTCCCAAAAGAGGAGTGGGGGCCTTAGAGGTGGGGCCAGCTGGGTCCTCGAAGGCTTGGTGGGGCTGTTCCTGCCCCAGGCCTGCTGTCTGGTGTCCCTGCAGCTCCGCCGGCTGGGGACTGTCACCAGCCATGCTCACAGAGCCTCCTGGAGTCCTCCTTCATCTCTGTTGTTCCCGTGTGTCTCTGACAGGTTTTGAGTGGCCTGGCTGCCTTTTTTTGCCCCCAGATTATCTGGCCTCTTCTCAAGGCATGTTAGGGAAAGGACTTCTGGGCTGCTGCCCTGTCCTCTCCCAGGAAACTGGAAGCCACTGCTCCTTAACCCTGACTGCAGTGTGCAGAGCTGCCTCGCTCGCCGGGCCACTTGGGCTCACCACGTGCATCCCCCAACCCCCAGCGTCGGAGTCAGGGCAGGCGGGCGAGCCAGGGTGGTCATGCTCCCACCCGCCCCTGCCTTGGGCTGTCCTGTGCATGTCTCTGCAGGCCATTAACCAGCGTGAGCGTGCTCCTAGTCTTCAGTTCCCTAGAAAGCCGACAGCACTGGGGCTGGGGCAGGCGAGGGCTGCCGCATCATCCAAGCCCTCCCAGAGGCTCCGGATAGGCATTTTTGCTCTAAAAATAAATATCGGCCCTTTTTTGGTCATGAATCCAGCATCTCAGCAGAAAACTGCCTGACATGAGAAGTCCCCTTAGGATTAGCATCTTGCAGTTTGGGGGCTTTCTCTCCCCCCCCCCCACCCTTTTTGAAAGCGTAGTTCGTGTGTACTTCTCAGAGGCACTTCTGTCTTCCTGGCCCGTCCAGGAGCTGGAAGCAGGCTTGGGGCGGTGCGACTGCTGGCCATGGGCAGCAGCTCCCCACCCCCACCCCGGTTCCTCTTGTTCTTTGAGACTCGGCAGCTGTCACTGCCCCATACCTGCAGCGATGCTCTCCACTTGCCCAGGCCTCCCCTGGGCGAGCTGCCCTGTGGCCTGCGCTTGATGTGTTCCCAGTAAATGTGGCTGGGCTGGGACTGGGGGGGCTTAATGCCCGGAGGCTCCCACAGGACGGTTGGGAAGCTGCTGGCACTGTTTTTCTGGGAAGATCCTGCTGTCTCGGACCAAATGGCAGCCTGTGTTCCCACAGTATCTTGGCGCCCGGGCCGCCCCGCCCCTCCCTGCCAATGTGCGTGCGGGCAGCTGGAACCCTGGGCCTTTACTGTCCAGGGGTCCCTTGCTTCCTGCCTGCGGTGGGGCTTCATCTGGCAGAGAACGCTCAGGGCTCGTTGAACTTGAAAGGTGTCTAGATGTAAACTGTCCCCCAGGAACGCAGCCAGAAGGGACATTGCCCACCCACTCCTATCGCTGGCAGCCTCCTGGGTGGAGGCAGCGGGAGGTGCCGGCCAGAGGCCTCCATGGACCAGCTGGCGGTGGGTCCTGAGGAGGACACGTAGGAGGGGCAGGGAGGGCGCCTCTGCTCTGCTCTGCCCTGCCCTCACCCCTCCAATCTGTCTCCTTTCCTGGAGGGGCCGGGATGGGGGCGGGGTGGGGGAAATCAGTGTTTTGATCAGATTTTACGAAAAACATTTTATTTCTTTGTACAATTTGCCATCCTATGTAAAGATACGTTTGTGTTGAGTTGAAGATTGTCATGGAATAAAGATCACACAGTACTCGAGGCCATCTTCATGTAACCCTTTCTAGAGAGTTTTGTGTGGGGGTGTCGGGGCTGGTGTGTCGTGAAGCTTGTGCACTTCCTGTCTTGTCTTTCTAATTGGTAATCCTGAACCACAGCTCGGGCCGGTCTGCCCCAAGCAGGCCTCTAGCACCCGCTGGTCTTCGCCGTTCCCTTCACTGGCCGGGTCCTCAGGGTCTGCCATGTGCCTCCCACCTCCCTCCCCCTACCTCTAGGCCTGCCCTGCCCCCAGGTTGCCCCAGCATTTCTGAGGGTCCCTGGAGACAAGGCTGGGGATCCTCGACATGCTCCCTGGAACCCTGCCAGCCTCTGCACCCTGTCCCACGCCTGCTCCAAGGGGCTGGGACGACCTGCCCTACTTTTATGCTTCCTCCCTTAGCTTTCCACTGCTGCCCCTCCCCACACCCCCAGGTCCCCTCAAAGGTGTGCCCAGCGTGCAAGCGGCTGCCCCTCCCCCAGTTCCCCTGGCTCCATCATCCTCGTGGGCTGGAATCTCGGTGCTGGGGATTGCTCCCTTGGTGCAGTGGTCTCTGCTGCTGAGGCACCGCCTCTGGGGTGCAGGGTCCCTCTGGGCCTTTGCTGCCCTGGTCCTGCGCATATACCTGGCCGTGCCTCTGACCCGCCTTCCCCCACAAGAGTAACCCAGCACCCTGGCATCTGGGTGTCCTCAGTAGCAACCTCTTGCCTCTTGTATGAGGATGTGACTGTGTAGCTGCTGAGGTCCGTGTCCACGTCTCTGTCTGTGCATGGAGTGTTGGACTCTCATGGAGCACGAGGTCCCTTCTTGGCACCCTTGGTGACATGCCACACCGCACAGCCGTCCTCCCCAGGGCAGCTTCCGAGCCGAGGTAGCTTGGACTCGGGCGAAGCATGCGTTCCTTTGGCGGCGGCAGGGAGCTCAGGGGACACCAGGCAAAGCCACGAGGTGCCTCTCAGGGTCAGGAATCCGAGAGACATCCTGCCGTGGGTGCCCGCCTCAAGCCTTGTTGATGGACAGCCTTGCACCTGCCCTCCCAGCCTGTGTGGCAAGGGACTTCCAGCTGCCGGGATTCCTTAGTGCTCACACCCTGCACACACACACACACACACACACACACACACACCCCAACACAGCTTGCAGAGACAGGCACATCCAGGTGCGGGCCCTGAGGAATCCCTGGGGCCCAGTGCCGTGCATTGTGTCCCAAAGCAGGGACTTGGAGATCCGTCTTCCCCTAACCCCACAGAAGGAGAAATTGGCCAGTGCCGTCCACCTCCAACCAGCCATGGCAGTGAGCGCCTGTGCTGGTGATTCCTGGTCACTCTGGGGAGGCTGGCCCTGGCTGGAGGGGGGGTTGGGGTGGAGGGGCACATGCCCATTTGGCCAGTCCCATGGATCTGTGGCCAGGCCGTGCCCCGTACCAGCACCCCTGGTCTCCCTCAGCCCCACCGCAAGCATCTCTGCTTCCTCTTGGAGGGTGGAGAAGAGGGGCTTGGAGGCTGCATCATGGCTCCGTTTTAAGCTGTGTGACCCTGGACAAGTCCTCCCACTTCTCAGAAACCTCACTTTTCTCAGCTGTAACTAGAGTGGAATCCTTTCCAACATCACAGGTGGTTCCAGGGCAGAGAGTAGGTCGGGGTTCTGGGCGTGCGGTCACTCGGTCACCACAGTGGGTCTTAACCCAAGCATAGGGGGAGGCGCTGGGGCAGGGTCTCAGCAGCCAGGAATCATCTTTTCGTGGAGTGGGTGGGGGGAAGCTTCCTGAGGCCCGGGCTCCCAGTAGGAGAAGGGGCAGGCGGTACCATGTACATCCCCTCCCTCCCCAACAACCACCACCTTGTCCCTGACCCCAGTCTGGTCGCCAGCCCCTCTCCTGAGCGTGCAGCCTTGTTTCCAGCCCTCCTGCACCACAGCCAGCTCCTGGCCACCTCCCCCAGAGCCTCCCTCACCAGCTTCTCTTTTCCCTTTGCAGAAATGGCTCCAAAGTCGAAAAAGAAGGGGCATCCCGGAAGGGACCAGAAGAAGGTAACCGAGGCTCACAGGTGTCTTCCAGGCTCTGGGCCCTACCTCAACCCCTGCCTGGGGAAACCCTGGCTCTCCCTAACTAACATCTGCCTGTCTCTCCGCAGCACCATCACCACCACCATCAGCAGATGCAGCCGGCCCCAGCCCCTGTGCCTCAGCAGCCGCCCCAGCCTCCCCAGCAGCCTCCACCACCTCCACCACAGCCACAGGCACCGCCACCGCAGCCGCAACAGCAGCCGCAGCCACAGCCACAGCCGCAGCAGCCGCCCCCCCAGCCCCCGCCGCCCCCACCCTCCATGCCCCAGCAGGCAGCCCCGGCCATGAAGTCCTCTCCTCCGACCTTCATCGCCACCCAGGTGCCGGTGCTGGAGCCTCAGCTCCCAGGCAGCGTCTTCGACCCCATCCCCCACTTCAGCCAGCCCATCCTGCACCTGACGCAGCCTGAGCTGCCTCCCCACCTGCCCCAGGCACCCGAACATAGCACTCCGCCCCATCTCAACCAGCACACGGTCGTCTCTCCCCCAGGTGAGTTAGCGTGGCCACCCCAACTCTCCCCTGGAGACGGGAGGCGCCAGGTGACCATCCGGTCACCAGTGAGTCTGAGCTCGGGGCTGCCCTATAGGTTGAAGGAGGAGCCCTGGGACCTGCTGCGTGGGAGGGGTGAGCAGCTGTGGGTTCAGGTCTGCTGGACTGGGTATTGAGTTAGGTGAGAAAAGGGGTGGGGGTGGGGGTAGGCAGCTCCTCTTGAGTGCCCACTGGCGTGGACCTGGGAGGTGCAGGACCAGTTCCGCCCACCAGAGGGGGTGGGGTAGACTGCAGAAGTCTGTGCTTGGGTGAGCAGCAGGGTCTGAGCTGGGACCTGAAGAGCCGTGCAGGAGTGAGGGTTGGGGGCAGAGTGTGAGCCCAAACAGCGCTGTCAAGGAGCCTGGTCCCATAGGCCTCACCTGAAACAGTGTGCCGGGAGCTTGTGGGAGGCCGTGGGGACTGGAGAGAGATTGCTGGTTGGAGGGAGGCCAGGATGGAGCAGCGAGGCCGGGCCGGGACTCGAGGAGGTACCCAGGCCTCACCACGCAGCATGCTGTGTCTTTCCAGCTTTGCACAATGCGCTGCCCCAGCAGCCATCGCGGCCCAGCAACCGAGCCGCCGCCCTGCCCCCCAAGCCTGCCCGGCCCCCAGCCGTGTCCCCCGCCCTGGCCCAGCCCGCCCTGCTCCCTCAGCCCCCCATGGCTCAGCCTCCCCAAGTGCTGCTGGAGGATGAAGAGCCGCCTGCCCCACCCCTCACCTCCATGCAAATGCAGCTGTACCTGCAGCAGCTGCAGAAGGTGCAGCCCCCCACAGAGCACACAAGCCTTGTGATGAGGTGCAGCCCCCAGACCCGCTGGCATTTCGCTCCCGATGGTAGTTGGACGTGATTGTCCCAGATTGCGGCAGATGCAAGGGGGGGCCCTCATGCTCTCCGAATGTTTAGGGGGGGCTTCCCGCCGATTTGGATGAGGTAATAGCATCGTTTGCGAATGATAGGGCAAGGGATTGCCCCCATCCGTTCTTCTTGGGCAGGGGGAAGGTCCCATTAGCTGTTTTGGCCCCCCCCCAACTTCTTGGATCTTTAACCCCCCCTGTGGACGTTCAAAGGTGAAGCGGAACCTGCCTCTCTCTCTCACACATAATCGCAACTGTTCTGGGGGAATCTTTGTGGAAACTTGAATATATATCATGTTTTTTTTTTATCGTTTTTCATACATATTCTCCTCTCTGGGGGAAAAAATAT